TACGCCAATAGTAGAAAGTAGTGTTGTTAAACGACTCATCCGCGTCGGCTTAACTACGACTCATCATAATATATATTAACCACGCGACTAAGCTATTTGATGAAATCTCCAAATAATTATTGCGGTAATATAATATACTAGTTGATATTCCGTCAAGAATGACGGAAATAATAAAATCTTGAACTATTATATGAAATTTTTTTATAAATACATTTTTTTATATAAAATAAATGAGAAATTTTAGTGATTATTTATTCATTTTATTAAATTTAGCGTAAAATATATGAAATTGTAATAAAAAATATAGGGTAGATTATATAGATTGGTATATTGTATGTCATTTCCAGAGTTCAAATATTGTTGTTGAGATAAAATTTTTATACTGGTATATTTTAAGGTGGTAATATGAAATAATGTTTATTTTTCAATTGGCTAAATATAATTTAAATTTATTTGTTAAATCTAAATTGTAATAAGTACTTAGGATTAGTGAGGGAGGTTAATTTTCTGGCATGGATCGAATCCCGTTGGTGTAAAAAAAATTTTCTTAAAATTTAACATTAGAGATATATAGTCTCCATCATTTAACATTAAGAAGATAGGAAAGTGGATAGAAAAAATAAAAATTAACATTAAGATGATAGGAAAAATAAAAATTAAGATTTTACGACTTCATTTCTTGATTACGGTGATTATATATAAAGGCTTAAATTGAGCTATAAGCGTAAGCAATATTGAGCGTATAAAATTTTTAGCTTAAGCAAAAAGTTTCGCGACAAAATAGATAATTATAAATATAAAGTGAAAATAGCTGTATGGTACCAACAATATTATATCCTTCAAAATATCGTGATAATGCGTTTAATTTATTCCTTTTATATCTAAAATTTTATAAATTTTGTTTCAGTAGTTTTTAAAATAATAAGCCATTCATGACGAAACTTGGGTCTGTTAATCTCCACAAATGTTTACACAAGTCTTTTTTAAATTTTAGTTGAGATAGAGAATTTTTTTAAAAAAATTCTTATCTTAAATATTAATTTTATGAAAAATGTTTTGGAATATCCATCAATTTTTTTTGTACTTAATTTTTTAAACCCTTTTTTAGAAAATTTTGGCTTATAAAGTATCCTCAACATTATTTATCTAAGCATAAAAATTTTAATAAATAGAAATAGCGAATATTCATTTGAAATTCTGGTCTTTTAAACCCCACTGGAGTATTCACTTAAAAAATTTCCATTTATGCACTAAAAATAACTATTATTAGAAACCTTACATCAAACTTATTTTTATCAGGTGAACCGATCCTAGATAAAAAATTTTATCTCAATTATCTCCTCATAATTAAGTTCCTTCAAGATTCTTGGATATATAAATGACCTCATCTCTGCCAAATTACTAATCTCCATGTATGCAAATAATATTTTTTTTCTTGGTTTCCTTATTTATTAATATCCCTCTTATCTCCAACACATCATCTATATATTCAATATAATCTTGAAAATTGTTTTGTTTATCTAAATTATCAAATTTTACTTGTATTATGTTGTTATTTACTTGATTACCATTATTCGTTTCACTTGATATATTAAAAAATGTTTGATTAACCACTTTTACCAATTACAATAGTTGGTTTTTCTTCTTTATTCATAATAAGAAAATTACTCGTCGCCACTTTATGACTACATATCGTATCGTATCATACACTGGGGAGGCATCCCACAATTAAGTGGTCACTCCACCGCCCTATAGAGAGCGTCTCCAATGCAGTGAATTTGCATCCACTGTTTGGCAGTAATTTACCCTACTGTCAGGGCCCGTTTAATTCATGAGGACTGACGGTACCTCTTGTGGATAAGCCAGGATCCACTGATTGATAGCAATTAGCAGAGATTTTGGTAAGAATAGAGAAATAAGAAAATATATAATTAATAAATAGTGTGCTTATCTTTTTAGAGAATTTGTTTCAAATTAGTGAATTTTTGATGGTGCTCATTATTTATAGGCTTTAAAATGATTACCTTTGTGATTAAATAATTGAAACAAATCAAGTGTATTTGTTGGTAAATCTAGAAATAAAATTTATAAATGATTAAAAATTTTTTTATTAGTTATTCTATGAAAATTCGCTTGATGTATCATTGCATTTAATAATTAAAAGTTTCTTATATTAAAAATTAATTTTCGCAGACGATCGATATTTGAGCATAAGGGTTTGAACCTATTAATTTAGAACATCTTAGACTACATATGACTTTATTATATCGTTTTTTAGATATCAATAATGTCAGATAATAAATCCAAATAAATGTAATATAAAATGTAATATCTTACATAGCATTTATCATGTAATATAGAATGTATAAACTATAATAATATCTTATATCGCATTTATCACGGGGGGGGGGGGGTTCTCTTCTTTTCTAAAATTAGAAAAATAAATTTAATAACATTTCTTATAAATAAAAATATGATTTGATTAGTGTATCCTCTAAAATTATTGTATAATTTGGGTCAAAAAAAAACCTTACTTTCTTTTTCTCTTTAATTGGGTCTGGTTACCTCCACCCACCTGAAAGCCTACGTTTATTGTGGATCATAGCATATTTTATTAAATAAGATATACAATTGCATTTGGTATCGTTATAAATTATTTTTAAAATAATATTACATAGTATTTAATATTCAAAGACCAACAATATTTACAATTTTAGGAATTTCACTATATTCTTTTTATTAGGGATGTACCTATATTTTGCAGATATTTCACCCATTTTAAAATATCGTTTATCGGCCAATATTATAAAATTTCCCGATCCGATATAAAATGGCGTCTTTAACAAAAATAAAATTTTTAAAAAGAGTTGTATCTAAAATCATTTATTTTTATAAATAAAATCGAAATCCATATTTACGTATATTTTTTTAATTCTTTCTTTCTTTATTGTTATTTTTTTTGCGCACTTTTTATAAAAATGTGCGATAATTTCTTCAGAATCAGTTTTTAGTAGTGTTGTAAATGAACGCGTTCGTGAACGAAGTTTGTTTATTTGAAAAAAGGTGATGAACGGCGTTCCTTTTTTTTTGACGAACTTTGAACGTGAACGCGTTCCTTTTCTTTGATGAACGCGTTCAATTTTACGTTCGTTCAATTTTAAAAACACTTTTTATTTATTTGAAAAATTAATATTAATCCGCATTTTTTAACAAAAAAGTCTTATATTTTTATTTATTTGAAAAATTAATATTTAATCCAATTTTTTAACAAAAAAGTCTTATATTTTTTAATCAGCTGTTTTTACTTTTTCCTCTTTCATATTGCAATTAACGTACCATAGTGCTACTGCTAGAGAAGATAAGATTAAAGTTTATTAATTTGAATATTTTATATTTTAATTTAATAGATTAGCATTTGCATGGATATAAATATTTCATCATCAGATTCTGAAAATCAAAATTTAATATTAGATGAATTAGAATTACCATGGCCCAAATATCAAAAATATTTCACTGTTTTAAAATCAATTCCGAGATATCCTTTTTTTTGACGAGGAAGAAGAGGGCAGATTGGAAGATGATAACATAGCTCAATTTTTTGAAACAATGGATAAAACATTAAATGTTTTTAATAAATTCCCCCTTTTAAAAGAATTATTTATCAAGTATAACACCGCAATCCCTTCATCTGCCCCTGTTGAGCGAGTTTTTAGTATAGCTAACGCTGTATTAACTGACAAGCGTTCATGCCTATCAGATGAAAATTTTGAAAAGCAATTATTATTAAAAATTAATAAGAAAAATTTTTTATAAATTTATTTTTTTATCGCTCTATTATATTGTATTTATAATTATATTATCAAAATAAAACTATTATTTTTTATCATGGCTAATATATTGTGTTGAAAAATATAAGGCATTTATTTATATCAAATTAAATTTAAAAAAAAATTTATCATAAAATTTTGAACGTATGAACGCGTTCATGAACTTGAACGCGTTCCTTTTTTTAAATTTGAACGTGAACGTGAAGGCGTTCGATTTTTGTCAATGAACTTTGAACGCGAACGCGTTCGATTTTTTTAAAAATGTTTACAGCACTAGTTTTTAGTGATAAATTGGAAATTTTGGTATTTCTAAAAAGAAATCTTCGAATGTTAAATATTATTTTAAATATTTATTTTAAATTTCATATATATTTGTTTATTACTTATTATCTATATAAATTAATGTGTTACTTATTATATAAATGTGATTTAACAATAAATATATTTTATTGAATAGAATATAAACTATTACTGACCATTATAATATATTTAAATGACATAAGTTATGGTATAGTTAAATTATAGATGTTATACTAATAAAAAGTATATTAAAAATTAAAACCATTGGTATCTTTACAGAATACAAAATTAGATATGATATCGGATCGCCGATATCAATTTATTATTGGGAATATCGGATCGGCCTCCAAAAAGTGGTATCGGTACACCCCTACTTCTTATATATAATTTGATTAAAAAAATTACACGCGATTGCAATTTATTGCCCCTCAGATTCTATCCCCATAATAATTTCAAAAATTGATATTAATAATGTACCAACTTCTTAATATTGGTTTATTTAATGTAATCAAAGTCAAGTTGTGGAATTTCTTATAAAATTGTCTGAAATTTATTGTGTGAGTATTTCTACTCATGCTAGAAATACATTTCCGTAAAAATCGAATTATTAAATTTTTTAAAAACGCACTAAATAGATGATTAGAAGTTAGTAAATAGCACTGCAGAATCATTTGTTAAGGGCTTTTTTGAAATTCAAAAATATATATTTGGCTCAAAAATTCCAGTATATTGATTATGAAAATGAATTTTTGAGTCATATTTAATTTACATGCTGGTAATACTCGAATTGGTTAAGAATATTTTTCAGTAAATATGCGCGTTGGCATATTGCGCCAAGTGATTATAACAATACCAAAACATAATATTTAAAAGATTATCCGGTATTATAATAGTAACTCTGGAAGCTCCAGTCTTGTATTGCATGCGGATAAGCTTCCTGGAAAAGATGATAGTGTTTTGTGATAGCAAACCTTATTGGTTAAAGACCTTCTTATACTTTGGGTAATTTTTTTTATCATTTCCTGAAATTTAATTTTTAAAAAAAATCAAAAAATATAACCTCTGAAGTTTTAAACAAAGTAGGAATCTTAGAATTTATTGGAAACGAAACCAGAAACCACTTAAATTTTCGGAGTCGTGTCAGAACAGGTTCTAACAAAAATGCTAGTAATTCAGATGTATATTGTTTAAAATTTTGCGTGATACATTTTAGAGGGTTTATTTTATTGTTTAGACTTTTTTGATTGATTTTAACCAACCAGAACATGGAGGACCACGTCAAATGTAAGATCTGGAACTGGAAGGAAGTCACTTTTTTAAATTTTATTAACCGGTATCAGAACCATCTTTTAAAAAAATTTAAAAACGGAAGATTCAGAACCCTTTTCGATTTATGTTCCAAACTCTGGACTTAACAAATTTAGGCTTTCTTTAATGAGCATGCTATTGCCCTACTACATTTAAATTAATTCTAAGAACCACTATTTTTTAAATGCGTGTGAACCGGGATCGAGCATTTTTTAGTTCGGTTATAAAAGTAGAAAGCTCTAACCTATATTTAAATTATATTTATTTTACGCTACAACAGGCTGGCTCTACCACCTATCCTTATATGCCCCGGAATTACAACGATCGGTGCTTCCTTGTTCATATTCATTTCTTCGGCCTTGTATGGTTCCATGGCCCTTGGCAAAAAGTTGGTTGTTTTTTTATTCTAATAACTAACAAAAATAATTCCACATGCAAGTATTTTTTAAAAAAAGGGGAAGGGGAGAGGGATATTTTGATAATCAGCCATTTATATAATGTCTTTGGACTTTTAAAATAATGATTTATTAAAATAAATGATTCTCGTGTTAAATTTTGATTTTTTTTGTATCTCCCTTTGCATTTTTAGCCGATTTAGGTCCAACTGAAAATGGTCACTACCACAACTGATTTATTAAAATATTTATGTGTCAGAATTGATAGAATATTAATAAAAATGTTTAAATTGTAATAACCATTTTTAATATATATCTACCCTAAACCCATATTTCTCAAATTTTAATTATCTTTAAACCATGCCTCTAAGCTTTAATATTTGTCCTTAATTAATAAATATAATTCACACACGCCTATTAAAAAAAATCTTTCAGATTAACATTCCTTGAGTTTAGCTCTTATCATATTAAATTTATTCATATTCCAGGCAGACAATTTATCATTAGTAAAAGGCAAGGCTTTTTTCACTATCATTTTTAAACCTCTTAATTGTACCCAAAACAGAGCTCTCTCGAAAGCCTCCTAATTCAATGACGTCGAACCCCCCTTTCTGGTGACTAGAATATTAAATGGATACTGACTATATATATTTAATAAGAGGGTATCTCCTCCTAAATTATCGGACCTGAGATTTTAATGACGTGAATAATTTTTACTCTCCACTCCTCATGTTAGAGGGCCCTAATCCGAAGATGGATTGTACTCATCTTTTCCCCTTCTAAAAATTTATAATATAGTTAAACTCGTCTACTAAGCTAAGCTAATTTTATGGTATAACTATATAAAATTAGATTAACGGTTTCAATCATAAACATCGTTCATAATTTCTAAGTGATTTTTCTTCTTATTTTGCTTCATATTATTATACATTTTTTTGAAATATCTTTATTAGAGCCAAAAGAGAAGAGATGATATCTAAAATGGGTGCGACTCAAGGGAATAAACCGAATCTAACACTGCATACCCCGGCATAAGCATCGTCATAAAAAAATAAATATTAAATAATGCCAAGAAAATATTTTTCTTCTAAAATCTCATTTATAAAATGTCAATCACAATCAAACCTATAATACTTCATACCAAATATATTCAATGACCAAATATTATTTTTATTAAATAATATAAATAGATCTAGACACGTTTTTAAACATAATTAATGTCAATTTAGATGTTGTTCAATTAATTTTTACACTTTTTAAATATATATTTTTTTAAATTCATAATAATAAGTATTCTATCATAAAGACCAAATTATTGAAAAATTTATAAATTTAAATTGTTACTCATTACCTTTAATTTATAGTTTCTTTAAAAAATATAACTCATTTTGAGCTAAATCAAAATATTTTTATTAATTTTTTTTCTTATAATTATATAAAAAATTTTTTTTTACAATGAACCAATTAACTAGCATTCCATGATATTGGTACTTTTTAAAATATTCTATATAAATATTATTGCCAATATTCTGTACAAAATGTATATCAGTTATTTTGATTGGTAATTATCTTACCTGTCCATGTCGAATTCAATAGATTTATATAAAAAAATTGTTTAAGGAAAAAAAATTTTTTTTAGAAATTCTTTTTGGTATTCAAGAAATGACATAAAATATAAGAGAGATCGCGAAAAATTAGAAAAAGATAATAAAGATATATGACATTCCAGAATGATAAAATGACAAAAATAAAAAAAAGGTCACTATAAAAACGGAAGTAAAATTAGAGGTCCACCCACGCTAAGAACGGGTGGGCGGGTTAAGAAATTTAAGCAATAGGCGGGTGGACTAAAAAAATTTAAAATCATTCAAGTATATTAATTAAAAATGGTTCTTATGAACTTTTTGGATTAAATATTAAAATGTCTTTTTTTGGTATCATAAAACTTTTATATATATTTAATACTTTGGTGGAAACAATCAGGGATGCTAACCCTTCGACAAAATAAAAGGGTCCGGGTACAGGAATAAAATTTAAAAAGGACCCAGTCCAGGGTCCGCGTTCAGGGAACATAAAAATAATGACTCAAAATAAGACATTTATTTATTATTATACTTCAATACATAAATCATAATTTACAAATGTAATATTTTAAATGTTTTATTCAATCGCACGATCATAATATCTATTAAAATATCATCCTTGAGATTTCCACGTCAATTAGACAATATATATTTTAAAGATGAAAATTCACGTTCTACCCTTACCTAAAATCGATATTTATCTTTAAAAAATTATTGTATTTGTCGCCGGTACAGCCATGAAGATTCTAGATAAGATATATAATTCTGAATATATCGAAAAATTTTCTTCCCAGAATTTTAAAATATTTGTATCCTTATTTATTCTCTTAATTTCTGAGAACTTTTATATTAAAGATGCGATAGGCATTTTTTGATCCTCCTTTCTATCTGATGATAATTTGATTTTTTTCCTCTATCTAAAAGTAAAATTTCAAGATCATCAATGTTGCTATCATAATTATTATTATCATTACAACCAGTAGGTATTGTAGTAGCCTCCATTATATTGTAAATAATGGAGTTTTGCGTATGCCATAAATCCTTAAGATGGTCTTGCCATTTGTTTTTGCTCAATACTTAATAAAACTTGATATCGAGGGTCTAAATATATAGAAGCTTATACAACACTATTTTGCAAATATTGTTGCTCTCGAATTTTCATGTTTTCTAATATTTCATATAAAAAGGACCATAAATTTTTCTTAATCTAATCGGCATCTAATCCATGCCATAAAAATCAAATAAACATAAATGTTCTGATTGTTATTTTTTAAAGGAACTAATATACTATTAAGGTCTTTTATTTGGAACTAGAGGTGGGCGCGGGCCGTGAAATTACTCGTGACTCATCGTATCACGGTGGGTCACGGCGTGAGTGACTAAATTTTAAATTATTAGGCTTGACGGGCCTTCCCAATAGTTTTCCGGCCATGATCGGGCGTGAACATAAATTTTCCGTGAATCACGGAAATTAAAATTTTTTTTTATAAATATAAATTTGCAATTTTATAATTATAATACATATTTTTTAGTTCCTTTTTAAAAAAGAAAAATTTTTGAAAACAAAAAATATTCCGGCATTTTATAAACATCTGGTGTCACGCTCTTAGTTCTATTTTCTTTTTATGTTTAGGTGTTTTGTCGCGAGATTTTTTACTTATTTATTCTCAAGCACTTAAGGTAGGCGTAATTCTAGATCCTAATTTCAAAAGCCTTAAGTTTTTAATAGACGAAGAAAGATATTTCAAAACAATCTTAAAAATGTGAAATGATATAAATAGGTGAAACGCATAAGTCAATGCCAACTGTCATTTATAATTTTCCTAATTCGTCCTACATTTATAAAAAACCATATATTCTAAATGAAACATATTTTTAGAGATTCTGATGAAGCACCAGCATCTACCGATGAAAGCTGTGTGAATTTAAAAGATTCATCCCATAAAACAAATAACAATGGCAATATTTTAAAGTTTTGGAAGCGGGAAAATTTATTTCCTTTTTTGAGAAAATTAGAGAGTAAAATTTTATCAGCCCTGGCAAATTCGGTTTCTAGTGAAAGGTTATTTTCTGTAGTCAATCGACTGGCATACACAATTGAAATATAAAAAAATAGACATTCTTCTTTTCCTAAGTAAAAGTTTGGATTTATATTATGTATTTATTTTTTGTTATTATGGATTATGGAATTAAAGAAATAAATAAAATAAATAAAAGTGTAAAAAATTATAGCATTAAAGTTTTGAAAAATTTAAAAACACCGTGAATTTTCAGGCGTGAATATTACCTTTCGTGAATGGGTCGGGTCGAAAATTTTTTAGTGATAAGCGTGAATGGGCGTGAATATTTTTTATTGCTACCGTAAGCGGGGCCGTGAATAAAAAATTAGGCCCGTGCCCACCAATATTTGGAACCAATCATCTTCCGACAAAATGACTTCACATGCTCCTATAATAAAATCATTACAGGAATCTTTCAATCTTAATAATCGTTCTAGCATTATCATTTAAATTAAAATATTATTACTTGCACTACAAAATAATTCACTTTCAAACATAGCATATTAATAATTTACATAATAAAATATTATTACCTACACTAGAAAATTAAATAAAATGGAACGGAAGAAAATTGAAAGAAAAACGCGAATATATAAATAATTCCACAAAAAAAAGTTAATAAAATTTTAAAATATTTATATTATTTATTAAAAAAATATTTTTATTTTTAAAATTTTTTATGACACCTAGAACCCTTGGACCCTCTACTTTTAAAATGAATCTGGGTTCGGGTACAGCCAAATATCAGGGTCTAGGTTCGGGTTCACATCCTTGGAAACAACAAGAAAGATTCGCCAAAGATATTAAGATTAGCAAGAAAAATATTGGCGATTCCTGCAACTAGTGCTTCTTCTGAACGAGAATTTAGCATTGCTGGAATTTAGAAAAGAAGAACGTGTTTGAATCCAGAATGTCGATTCATTATTATTTTTGCTTTTATAATTACATATAATATCAATTTTATATTTATATTTTTTCATAAATATTTTATTTGATCAAATAAATTATACATAATTTAATAAAATATTTTTTTATGCTGAAAAGAATGATAAACATAGGATGGAAAATCCTATAGTAATTTCCATAATTATAAAACTTCTTGTAGAGGTGAAATGCTGAAATATTTTTATTAGATGCGTAAAAAATTGAAAGAATGGTCATAATTAAATTGTATAATGGCAGGCTTGGGTTAAAAAATTTTCATAAATAATGGAGGGGCGGGTAAAATTTTTTAGACTAATGGGCGGGCGGGTAAGGAATTTTAGACTATGGGCGGTAGGGCGGGTGAAAACCATGGGCGGGTGGGTTAAATTTTTGAAAAAATATTGGGTGGTTGGGCTTATGGTTCGAAAACCCGCCCAATTCAGACCTCTAGTAGAATATAATTATTAAATAATGACATGAATTGAATAATTTTTCTTGCCTTTTTAAAAGTATAAATTACATTAAAACAGCTTTCGTTGCAAATGTATATAAAATGCTATTTTATAAGGACTCGTTATTTTGATGGTATTCCATTCATGTGATCACTCATGGTAGGGGCTTCATTATCCCCTGTCGTCTCACTTGATTTAAATCAAGATTTGTATACTTAATAAATTTTTTGTAAAAATATAAATTGAGGAATTTTCATTGATCAAAAGATGATTTAACTTAAGATATTCTATTGCAAGTGACATTTGTTAAATGTTTTGGATAGTTATGGTTTAATCGGTAAGAAGAGTAAAAAAGAGTGTTTATTCTATATTTTACTAATATTTTGCTTTAAAATTAATTTTTTGCATAAAGTTATGATCCTGTTTCGCTGTATATACATTGCATACTTCATTGATTCTTATTTTTATATCGAACCTAATAAATTCCCGAAATTCTACCTTTTCTAAACCAGATCGAATTTTGAAGTTTGAAGTCTTTTTAAAAAAAACCTGTTTGCCTAATGATTTTGCGTGAATTTTCTTAGAATAAGCAATGCAATGGGATTAACTAGGTGTCTTAAAATGTGATATTCTTATCAATGTTTTAAAAATCTTTGCAAGTACAAATAGCTCATAATAGACATTCAGGAAATAAGAAAATTATAACTGTTACAATCAGTTATTGAAGTTAAAAGAAACGTGAGTTATGTTAAGAATACTATAGTAATAATTTATCCTTGTACCAAAGTCATGGTCTCGAATGTACTTAGAATTTCTGGATCAATACATTGTCAATTTCAATTATTGATAATTAACAGAAAGATTGGGATCTACCACTTGTAAAAACTCCGTTTATAACCTTATTTCGAGTATTTCTCCTTTGGTTAAATCAACATCAATGAACCTAGTAAGGATCGGGGATATGAATTTTTACAGATTATTTCATCTAAAAACCTCAAATTTGAATTGAATAACCACGAGTTCAGTTGCTCCTAATGTAACAGACTCAACATTTCATTCTCATTACCATATAGATACAGCAAATGCCGTACCGATGATGACATTAAGGCGCTGCATTCCTTAACTTTAATCTCAATACTGGTCGGGAACATTCGAAATGCTATCAAGTCTCGCGATGATTTTTATACCTCATTAGAACCTTCCAATCTTTCCCGATTGTAGACATGGTTACAAGGCAAATTTTTAATGTGGGTTTCTCATGCCTGAACATAAAATCCCCGTCCAACTCAACAAAGACGCTATGAAACAGGGCGCAAAATTTAAAAATTACTAATACACCACTGATTCATAAAATTACATTTTCGTACCAATATATTTTAACAACATCAAAGAATTTCTTTACAAGCTTTGGCCATCAAATCAGGAAAAATTCTGGGATCCTCGT